GTCAACATCTGGATAAAGAGGCAAACCATCTCCCTTTCTTTGGGAGGATCCACAAAGAGTGTACCTGTTTCCCTCCGGTTGTTCTGATAAGCAGTGAATCCTTTATTCTCTTTATGTTTGACAATGGAGAGCTCACGTTCAGAAGTTCTAGCTTGAATGTTACACTTGTAACGATTCGTAAAACTCTCAGTAACATCTTCCCAAGTTGCAGTATACTTGGACTCCAGAGCATAGAACCAATGTTGGCAAGCATGCTCCAAGGAAAGAGGGAACACTGTAGGTAAGAGTGCCACATCTAGTCCTTTTAGAGCCATGGTTGCAGAGAAAGCCTTCAAATGGAACATTGGGTTATCAGTAGGCTTGAACTTTAGTATGTAAGCAGTGGAGAACTTTTCAAGGAGCTTATCCTTCACAACCAAAGTAGTGAAAGCTTGTTCCACATAGGTTAAATCCTTAGAAGTTTTGCACACTTGCTCTTTATTCTTGTCAATTGTGGTAATAGTGGCATTGGTTTGCTCCTTGGTAGTGACCTTGGTAGTAAGGGTTTGCATCATAGCAGAAAGTGCCTCGATGGACTTGTTGATTTGCTCAATATCTTCCTTGCTAGCCATTGAAGTGTAGTGAAAGTGAACTGGATGTGGTGGAGATGATGGTTGCTTCCTTGCACGACTCTTAGGTTTAAGAGGTTGTTGTGGTAGTGACTCAAAATATACCAATCTACCCCTACTTCTTGACAAAGCGTTGCGATATTGAAACAAAAGCACCTTTAATGAGTTGACTTAACCTTGACCCATCTGGTAAGGAAGAAAAAAGGAAATACAAAAGTTTTCAAACACAAAATTTTTTTTTTTTAGAAAAAAGCATGTATGGGAGGATACCATCCGACTTACTCCTAAAAAAACGGAATAAAAAAAAAAAAAAAAAAAAAAAACACACACACACAAGACTATCCTAATGTATGGTCATGAATTACATGGTGCATAACTTGGATAAAACAACAAGTGTGTGGACTCGACTTGACTCGTGAGTGATTGAGTGAGGTTATGTGACGCGTGTTATAACCGCACAGCTAGAAGCGACGCTAGACCAGACGCACAAACCACAGAAATACGCACGGAGGACCAAAACAAGAATGACATCAACATTCCTCGGGTACCGCGCCACGGTACAGCTGTGGTGGCACGGTAAATTGTATTGTGGTGCAGTATAAACTGCCATGACACGACACTGTTTGCTGTGGCACGAAAATTCTGCCGTGACAGGGTAAACAGTTCTAGGTTCTATTTTGTGTATTTTCCAGTTTTTATTCAATTTTAGGGTCTATACTAAACACTATGTGGAAACAAAACCCTCGGTCATACGTTAGTCAGAACAACAACATGAACAGACACACTTGGGGTTAGTAACATGACAATTAAGCCAAGTAACACATAGTCACGATGATGTAATAAAGTTCGCAATCTAAGGTCAAGTTCTATGTTCCACTATGGTCAAGCTTATTTTGTGTCAAAAGGGTACCATGGTTAAGAGTTTGGACGCGTTAGCAAGGCAATCTCCCTTAAGGGTGTATGCCATCGGGCGACTCCGTAAGTTCATGGTGAAATCAAACTTGACTCCATGGTTTGGGTGGATTTAATAACTCGGATGAACTCTTATTGTCATGAACATTTTTTTAGGTCGATAGAGCTTAAATTCCCCGGGGCTAAAATGTATGCAGAACACATACAATTTTAAAAAAAAAACCAAGCCAAAAACAAGAAAAAAAGCAGAACCACTGGAAGAATTTTAGGAGTGCCATGCCACAGCAGGGTTTGCCGTGCCACGGTACAAAATACCGTGTCACGATATTTTGTGCGGTGCCACGGCAAATCTGTCGTTGGGCAGTGTTTAGAAAATTTTAGCAGTGCCTCTATTTTTTTTATCGCAATCAGGTTATTCGATATTTCTTACGAGGAGAACCTGAATACAACGTTAAAACGTCAATGCATATGCAACAATGCCAAATTAATCACAGGAATATGATTCAAGGATCTTTCAAGTGTCATTAACTTATCTCAATTAAATACCGATTACTCAATTCGATAAATAACCAAGAATCCCCCCAGTGGAGTTGCCAAATTGTAGGCGTCATTCAAAGCGCGCATACCTAAGCATGTTGTTAATATGCTTGGAACTCATAGGAACTGGGAATTGACATACGATAAGGGACACGATTATGGACAAAGCAAAGTAAGGAGCCGCCAACAAGTTTTTTAAGGAACATGTATCCTTATTAAAATTTAACCAAACTTAAGGAACCTTTTATTCCCAAAACCGGTTTCTTATTTTTTATTTATTAAATTAAAAAAATGAAAAATTAGAATTAGTAAGTGCAAAACTGCTGTATTTCATTCACTACATTAAAATTCACGTTTTACCGCCACTACTACACTCAACCTCCCATCTTCCTCCATTACCTCCAATTACGATCAACACATGAACTCAAGCTTCCCTCCACCGCCGTCACAACCTATTCTCGACCGCATAAGCCATTTCCCATCACAAAAGCCATTGCTCGTTCGCTTATATGCATACTAAAGCCACCATCGCCACTTTGCTCCGGTTTTTGTGTCGTCTAAACAACCGCCGGCTCCGCCACAGAAGCCACCGAAACCACCACCCTAATTTTTGTTCTGATAATAATTTTTTTTTTTCGATTTCGTATGATTGGTTTTATATTACATCTGTACTAGCTTGAAAATCAATTGAAAATCATACTTCTATAGTAATATTTATTATTGAACCATTGAAATTAAGGGTTTAAATTATATGACTTGTTATACTGTTTGGGGATGGGTTTAAGAGAACCAATTGTTGACAACTGGGTATGCATGCATGGCTAAATTAAAATTGAGATTAAGATTGTTGGGGGCAAAGAAACCTAACTAATTTCTCTTTTAAAGCTTCCCTCCATTAGTCTTGTTTAATTAATTCTTGCCGGTAAATTGATAAAGTCAAGGGCTTATATATATTGGATATTCCCTCCATATGTTTGTCTGATTGTATATATGTGTGAATGTTTTTGTATTATATGCATTCATGGCTATATACTGATTTCACTTGAAGTATATAGGACAAGCTTAAATTATTAGATGGTAGACCATTTTATGTGTGTAGAGAGTCATTTGTTTTTGTATTTTGGTCGGGTTGAGTGGTCGAGATTAAGTGAGCATTAAAAGGTCCCCACTTTCCAGTGCTTTCATAAACGTGCATGCTTTAGTCTCTAACTCTCTATATACCATGTAATCAGTTTATATTTTTTTATGTGTTGTGCTTATAGTCACCTTTACACTAGACGAAAAAGGTAATTTGACACCGGTTTTGAACCGTTGGGGATTTGAAGGATGCCAAATCCTCGAAAATTTGGCACCGGTTTTGAACCGGTGCCAACTAAAGGCTTAACCGGTGCCAACTTCAAACGCGCGAATTTTTTTTTTTTTATTATCAACACTATTGGCCCCGGTTTTAGGAAAGAACCGGTGCGAAAAAGCCCACTTTAGGAACCGGTTCTTGATTTAAACCGGTGCAAAAAATCTCAAAAAAATTTTAAAAAAAACTTTTGGCACCGGTTCTGGTACAAACCCGTGCCACCAAAAAAATAAAAACAATAAAAATTTTGCATTTTTTTTTTACTTAAATTGATATAGAAACATTAACATATATATAAACTTACATATTTCATTAAAAAAGACTATAAAGCTTGTAATATTACAATTTTCATCCAAAAAAAATTAAATAATCCAGGGGACAAAACCTAACACAGCCAAAACTACGGAGAACAAAACAAAAAACAGCAGCCCAAAAAGACTTCCTGAAATGTGAGAAGTCCTACGTGGTGGAATGCACGAGCTATATTATACAAGGCTTCCTTAAATGACTTGGATTAGTACTACAGCCAGATGAACAATAGTAAGAAATATTATAAGATAGTTTCAAGTTTCAACCGTAAAATAATATACTGTGGGATAATAAGTCTTGCTACAGCATGTATAAATACAATTTAATCCAATAATTAGTCACAAATTAACCATAATGATCATGAATTATCCTTAAATAATTATTATTTATCTATAATATATGGCTGCTATGTTTAGTCAAAAGTGTGACGTGGAATTCCAACATAATTTATATTACTTCATTTGTGAGCTACTTGAGTTGGACTTGGCCAAAACTTGACTCGACTCGAAATAAATTGACCAATGAGGATTAGAATAGGAGATTACATTTCTAAAAGCTGGTAAACCATGGTAGTCTTGAAAGATGGCAATATCCTGAAATTGTTCAATTCCTTCAGCAGTACAAATGGAAGCAGCAGGATTTTTCAGAATCCACTCTTTCACCAAATCAAAAGAAAGCTGCAATTTTAAAAAATAATCAATATTTTCACAAGTCAATAAATTCCATAATATTCAATGTTGACAATACTTATAAAAAATGAAAAATAAATAAACAGTCATAATTAGATAGTTAAGAGAAGGATTAGCAGATAATTACCTGAATTTCAGCAAGACCCATCTGAATAACACCATACTCATACTCAAAACGAGAAGGTGAACAAAAAGAATTTTATCCTTGTACTCATACTCAATAAGCTCGAGATCTTTTAAAACATAACAGGAAAAGTAATTCAATAACATTACACCTGCTATGGAATACTATAGTTTCATCCTCAAAACACACCTTGGAATAAAGGGTTAGGGTTAGCAATGTTTTTTAAAAACGAAAAAAAAAAAAAAAAGGAAAAACCGTCGGTAGCTGACGCACGAAGGACGGCTGAGGGGAACGGAGGGTGGCCGGCGAAGACCACAATGGCCCAATAAATTACAAACCACTCAACTAAAAATGAGAACCTGAAAGGCAATAACCCCCCACCTCATTCATCCCCTCCAAAAAATATAAAAATAAGAAATGATTAAAATAATGAAGGCAGGATGATTAGAATAATATTAAACAAAGTCATATAATTCAACAAAGTCATATAAAGCTCAATAAATTGACAAGCAGGGAGTATTGTTTTGTCAAACATAAACTTGGTATACACGGTGTATAATTCAACTCTTCTACGTTCTATGTATCTTATGCTAGTTGTGTATCTGTGTGGTAGTTGACACTCAGACAAGGCCTGTCCTTACCCAGTACTTCAACTTTTAATGCAACACCTTAATAATGTAGAGGAAGGAACCTACAAAAATACAGAAGTGAAGTAAGCTTGAAGATTGGCTTGAAAATCATAACTAAATCTAGCAAGTAGGTCAATCTAAATATTATCTGTTTCATTTTCTTTTATATGCAAAGTGAAAAGCATGCCAACGTCTTTAAGAATCAAGAATATATTATGTACATAGTATGACATGTTCGAAGTTGTGAGCCTCTATGTATTTGACACTTAAAACATGTACTTATACCAAACACTCGTACCTTGTATAAGCTAAAAGTAACGCGGCTACCCCAGCTGGGTTGCAGTAGGTTTGTGCACCAGTTCGGCTGCCTCTGCATTTTATCTATCTGGTTTACAGTTTTCTGTTCCCTTAACTCCTGCTCGTTTAAAATTTAACTCAGAAATAAACAGACTTAAATGTGTGAACCAGACACTGAAATATGATATTAGGCTAATTGGCATAAGAAACTCAACTAGTATCCTTAAATCATGCAGTCATGTATAGTACATGCTTGCAATCTACAGAGGCATTACCTTCTATATAAACCTTTAAATAAATAAATTCAGTCTGATAAAAAAATCAGATTTAGAACTGAAGTACACAAATATAAGTCGCCTTGTCACATTCTTGGCTCTTCTCTTAGTGCTCTTCAGCACCACCGTGACAGGCCAAATACAACTAGGACAGCCAGGAGGACAGGCAGCAATTCCATGTAATCAGGTGATTAATGAGCTGTCACCGTGTTTATCTTACCTCCACAGTCAACACTCCTCACCCTCGACTAATTGCTGCCAAGGCGCTAAGTATGTAAATAAGCATTACGGGAAAAGTAAGAAGAAACGATAGGGAGTTTGCCAATGTCTCAAGTCTGTACTGCCTCTTATAGGACAGATTGATAGTTATTATTTTAATCATAACATTTCTTATTTTTATATTTTTATAGGACTACATGGAGGCAGACCTGTGTTCCACAAAATCAAGGACTAAGACTTTGTTGAGGTTGCATTTAGCTTAACAAGCAAAGCCAGGATGTTCTGATTATCTAGCCTATGTGAATTAAAATAGGAAATGTGAAGAGGGAATGTCAAAGAAGAAACTGAACAGTCATTATAAACACTAAGCAAGTTTTCAAGGCTTTTCATCTTAAGTTCTGAATTGTTATTGGCTGCTTTATCAACTTGGTCATTGAAATTTCACTATCCAAACTAAACAACTATGAATCATATGCTAATATTTCTAGCTAAAATGAGGTAGATACAATCATACAACTCATACAATCTCTTGACCTATCCAAGATCTTAGTATCTTCAACTCAAAGTTTTACTGTAGGACAAGAAAGCTGACTATAACTTGATCATGTTTTTAATTTTTCAAGGACTAATTCTTCTTTATCAAACTTTCAAGTAGATACTAGCCACTAGGAAGCCATTCCTTTAAGAAAGTTGGAAAGATAGTAAGTCAATAATTCAATATATGTTGAACAAAGGGATAGAGATATTATTGAAAGCAATCTTCTAACTAAAGCAAAAAAAAAAAAAAAAAAAAAAAAAAAAAAAAAAAAAATGGTTGACCTAGAAACTCTAAAGAATTAGGGAAACCAAATCTTACAGCTAACAATGCTCCATTGCCTGGGAAACTCTCAGTCAGTGGCAATTCCTCACTTGGCGGGAGAAGCCCCTGCTTCTCAACCCATTGCCGAGCCACATCCACAAGATTACCACTGCTTCCTTGAGTACCTTCTTTTGCTGCAATATCTGCTTTATTACTGACAACAATGTATAAAACAGGAAGGCCGCCTAGACCTCCAACCCTCATTAGAGCAGAGAACGTCCCAACTGCTGTAATTTCTGCAGCCCACTTATGCAAACTTGTTTTTGTTCTCTGTTGTTAAAGATCATAAACAAAAATGACACCTGCATACAAAGGTTTGACACAGTGAAAGAAGATGCCAATAAGTACTACTGGTTTTGGTTCAATAAATCACTATTTTCAGGACAGTTGTCCAATGAAGGGATTCAGAAACTATGTAAGACCTCAATCAGAATGAAGTCCACTTAATATTGCCTTTTTTTTTTTAAGTCTTCGGATAAAATTTGCTTTATAGACAAAAAACCCAATCTAATTTTACATTCTTTCTATTATTTGAAAATTTTAAATACAAACATATTAGACATAGGACTTTGCAAGTTACATTCACCATTCATCATCAATTACACTATCCCTAAAATTCTTTTTCAATTCAATATCTAGAAAATGACATGGTCCTCGACTCATGAGACATGACTGTTCTCTACATAGACCATGGCTTGTGACTTACTGAGGAAACTCATAGTTTCGAAGTTTTGAAAAAGTATATAAAATGTGTCCTCTGTTTGAAATCATAGCCATGTTATCCCAAATTCCTACTCCTCATAATTAAGGACATGACACAATTTTACTACAAGACCCGTTGTAGTAGTAGGACTAGTCCAACACTTTCCTCATTACTCAGCCTTAGTTTGGGAAAGATAACCACAAAACATTATCATTTGAGAAAAACAATATAACATGCACATTATCAGATATCCGATTAATATAATATATGTGATTATTATTTCCGTGCGGGAGCATCATTGATTAAGCAGAAGCAGAAGTTTGTCTATATTATGTTGCAGCGCAAGAACTTACAAGTAAATGTTGTAGAACATTTATTCACTAATTATAATTACAGAAATGTAGCTATTTAAGGTAAAAAGGTTATCTAAATTCGTCAAATTGATACCTAACAAACAGTAACCTCCAGAAGGTATACTCCTCATACTTAAGGCAGACAGTGATTACGGAAGTTTTAGATTTCACCATCCACCAACTATATTGAGAGTTACATACAAATTTAAATTTAAGGATCTTCAATGCTCATAAAATCAATGGTGCAATCAACAAATTCCTTATTTCTTTGCTCTATTAGTGTGGTCAATTGACTATATCTAATAGTGTGTGTGATCTATATCATTATTTCTATTTTTTTTGAAATTTAATGCTCATATGAAATTTAAATAACATAATATAACCTAGTAATCCGACAGCCTCCTAGGCTACTACTACTGTAATGGAACATATTGAAGTATTGAACCAATAATGTAGCATCAAAAGTTCAAAATGCTAGTCACAATGCACCAACTTCATCGCAATCACTACAATCAGTAAGTAACACAAACATAACTCCCAAGTCCAATTTCTCCTCTAAAAATAAAAACTCTAAACCAGCTTTGATCAATAAAACTCAAATTAATCTTCGCCCTACCATATTATATAACAAAAATCAAACAAATGCTACCAAATTAACAGCAAAATATTTCATGAAAACTAGTAATAATTAACACATGAACTAGAAAATATTAACAAAATAAACCTTCGATCACTCAAACAAACGGAAAAATTATAACCAAAAAAGAAAATGATTATAATTAATATATAATGATACAACATCATAAACAAGAGGAAAAACTAACCACAAATTAGAAAATTGGAGGAAAAATTTAAGAAAATGGAATCAAATTAAAGCAAAGCAGTATGCACTAAAGCACGAAACGATGGGAAATAAAACCTACTTATTTTGTTTGACAAAAAATAGAAATAAAACCAGAACCCTAAAATTACAAAATTGAAAACCAAATCAACGACAAACCCTAGGTTGCGAAGAAATTCGGTAGATTAAGAAGACCACAATGGCCCGAATCTTACCTCGAAGCTGCTTCAATGGAGGTGAGAAAACTCAGAACGCGCTTCAATGGAGAATAGAGAGCACGAGTTCAATGGAGGAGAGATATGAAGAGAGAAGGAGGTGCATGCAGCTGCTTCGATGGAGTGAGAGAGCTCAAAAAACGGCTTCAATGGAGAAGGTGGGAATTCGGAGGTGGTGGCCTGGAAGAGAAGGTGAGAACGAGCTGAGGAAAAAAACAAGTTGAAAAATCAGGGGGGAAGAAAAGAAGAAGAAATACGAGCTTAATTACTAGCCCGGTTTTTTTTTTATGGCACCGGTTCAAACCGGTGCTAACTACTATAGTGGGCACCGGTTTAAGATGAACCGGTGCCAACTCTATTGCTTTCTTCATTTGTTTTTTTTTTTTTTCTTGGTTGGCACCGGTTTGAAGCGGTGCTAATTAGATTGGTTGGCACCAGTTTTGGTTGGAACCGGTGCCAACTCTGAATTTTCCAATCTCGCCCATTTCTTTTGGCACCGGTTTTCAAGAACCGGTGCTAAAGGGGGGTGCCTATTTCAAAATTTCTACTAGTGTTACTTATAGTAAATTTATAGTATTCACTTTTTAGCTTTTGTCACTACTAGAAAAGAGGCCATTTCCGACGGAAAAATTTCGTCGGAAAACGCTGTTCCGACGGAATTTCCGTCGGAATGTGTTGTCGGAAGACCCTTTGTAGGAAAAACGACCATTTCCGTCGGAAATTTCGTCAGAACAGTGTTTTCCGACGGATTATATCTTGTCGGACCCTAGTTTGACTAAAATCGTAAGTCTGTTGCAAGCTTACGATGGAAACTTTTCCGTAGGAAGAAGAGAACCTTCCGACGGAATATTCCGTCGGAGGTGGAAATTCCGACGGAATATTCCGTCAGAAAAGCCAATAAAAAGAAATTGAAAAAAAATCCCACACTAGTCCCACCCAGACCCACCCCCACCACCAGCCCACCCCACAGCACCGAACAACCACCCACCACCCACCCACCTGGCCCCCCATACACAGCAAACCACCACCCACCACCCCACACAGACCCCCCATACACAGCAAACCACCACCCATCACCCACCCACCCCACACAGACCCCCCCATACACCCACCACCCCACACAGACCCCCCCCATACACAGCAAACCACCACCCACCCCACACAGACCCCCCCATACACCCACCCACCCACCCCACACAGACCCCCCATACACCCACCATGCACCCAGACCACCCCTACCCATCACCTCGCACCCAGACCACCCCCACACCCCACCCAGACCCTAACCCAGATTTAAAAAAAAAAACACGAAAAAAAATCATTAAAAAATGAGAGGAGGAGAGGAAAATGTAGTTTGTCGAATTGAAAAAATCCAATGTACAGAAAAATTGAATATATACAAATAACAAAAATCAGATCTAACCCACAAATTGAAGAGCAAAATCCAAAACAAAAATTAAAACAAAAACATATACAAATCTAAAATCAAAATCTGAAAAAAAAAAACCAAAAAAATTACGAAAAAAGTTCTTTAAATTCCGGTGAAACCCCGGATGCTATTTTGTTCTTCAAAAAGTTCTTCAAGTTCTTCAAAAATCTTCGAAAATCGTACGGTGAGTTTCAGTTGTTGTTGGTGGTGTCGGTGTTGGTGGTTTTGGGTGAGAAGGAGAACGAGGAGGGAGAAGGAGTTGTTGTTGTTGGTGTCGATTAAGGTAGTTGTTTGGGTGAGAATGAGAGGACAGAGAAGAAATAGGGGAGGGAGAAGGAGGACGAGGAGGGAGAAGGACAAAGAAGAGATGAGGAGGGAGAAAAGGAAAAGAGGAGGACGGAAGAAAGACAGGAAGGAGAAGATAATAAGAAAGGAGAGAGAAAGAGAAGGAGAAAAGGGAAAGAAAGAGGCGGTGGGTCTATTAGGGTTTTCATTTTTTTTTTAAAATTAAATTAGACTCTAGAAACAACACAATTTCATTTTTTTTTTTAATATAATAGAACGTTCCGAACGAAATATTTGAGTTTTTCGAGGGAATATTCCGTAGGAAAATTCTGACGGATTTAAATTCCGTAGGAAAACTAACTTTCTGACGGAATATTCCGTCGGAAGCCTATTATTCTGAGGGAATTAATTTCCGGCGCAAGAATTTCGACGGATTTTCCGTCGTAACGAACCTTTTTCGACGGAATGTTCCGACAGACCCTAATTCCGTCGGAAAGTTCGGATTTTCCGACGGAATTTTGGTCCGTCGGAACGATTCCCTCGGAAAACGGCCTATTTCTAGTAGCATGTATTCATTTTTTTAATGGTATATGCAGCCCATTTTGTGTGGATTTGCATATTGGACATATCAATAATTTCGACTTTTATGCTGAGGGGCTACATATTTTGATAAGGTAAGTAACATTTCTTTAAATCCTTTTGGCTATCTTTTGTTAATTTAATATGATAGTTATATTGCTAGTTAAAGTTATTTTATATGCATGGAAGAAAAGAATAAATAACCACATTTTGTTGCTATCAATTATTACATGGGTCAGATTATATGACATACCTTTTGATTTTATGCCAATTTGTTTATTTTGAGAAATTTATAATTGTTAAACCAATTCTTTTTTAAGTGGGGTCAGTTTTGGTTTTGGCCATCAAGTTTTGGTATGAGTTTCTACCAGAGTTATAAAAAGGAAAGAATAAAAAAAAAACTAAAATATGTTACTACTTCATTCCCATTTTTTTTGTTTATTAATCTTTTATTTTCTCACTCTTAACTGAACTGCTCGCCTTTGTACACATCACTATAAAATGTTATTTAATTTGATCAATATTGTGTTAGTTACTTTAAATGTCATATTATGTGTAGAAATGGACCGAAGTTGGATAACTACATCAAAGCCAGGTGACCCAAAATATATTGATGGTGTAGAGGAATTTATTACTTTTGCGGTGAAAAATAGTAGAGGTAGAGACAAGTTACCATGTCCTTGTTTTATGTGCTACAATCTCTTGCACAAGAGAGTTGATGAAATACTTAATCATCTCAGTAAATGGGCCTTTGATAGAAGATATACCCATTGGACTTTTCATGGAGAGTCTAGGTAAAGAATTTCTAAGGCCACTTCTATTGATGGTGTAAGTGAGGGTCATGCTAATTACGAAGGTGATCGTTTAGAGGACATGATACATGTAGTTGAGGACACAATCATTGAGGATCCTGCTGCTCTCCAAACCTTATTAAATGATTCCGAAATGTCGTTGTACCCTGGTTGCACCAAGTATACCAGATTATCAGGTTTACTTAAATTATACAATTTGAAGGCAGGTCATAGTTGGTCAGATATTGGCTTTAATACGTTCCTTGAATTATTAAAAGACATGCTTCCAGAAAATAATGTTCTTCCAAAAGGTTTCTATGAGGCAAAAAAGATATTGTGCATAATGAGCTTGCGTTATGAGAAAATTCATGCGTGCCCTAACGATTGCATATGATATTGTAAAAAAACGAGAATCATTAGAGAGTTGCCCTGTGTGTAAAGCCTCAAGATATAAAGAAAAACAAGGTGTGTCGGCTAAGGTATTATGGTATTTTCCGATAATACCCAGGTTTCGACGCATGTATTCAATCCCGGGAGATGCTGAGAAGTTAACTTCGAATTAACATGGCCGTAAAAAGGATGAGTTTCTTAGGCACCTAGCCGACTCCCCTTAATGGTCATTCATTGATGCAATGTTTCCTGAGTTTGGTAAAGAAGAACGTAATTTGCGCCTTGCATTGTCCACCGATGGTATAAACCCTTTTAGCTCCCTTAGTAGCACCTATAGTACTTGGCCTGTAATTCTGGTCACTTACAACTTATCCCCTTCTTTGTGCATGAAAAGAAAGTACATGATGCTAACATTGTTAATTTCTAGGACAAAACAACTTGGAAATGACATTGATGTGTATTTAGAACCACTCATTGATGATTTGATCATATTATGGGATAAAGGTGTAGAGGTGTATGATGCTCATCGCAAAGAAATGTTCAATTCGAAGGCAATGTTGTTTACCACCATTCAAGACTTTCCAATTTACGGTAATCCGTCAGGGTACACAAGGAAAGGTGGGTCAGCTTGTCCATTGCGTGAAGATGGTTTCACGGGAGTTTGGTTATATGGATCTTGAAAAACAGCTTATGTAGATCATCGATGTTTTTGCCTAGTGATCATAGTTATCGTAAGCAAAAGAAAGTCTTCAATGGGAAACAAACGTTTGATGATCGTCCAAAGGTCTTCACTAGTGAGGAGGTGTTTTAGAAGGTAAAGGATATTCAGATTACCTAAGGGAAAAAAATTAAAAAAAAAAACTTCCCAAACAAGGTTACAAGAAGTGTTGTGGTTTTTGGCGTTTGACATACTGGAGATTTCTTTTTGTGAGACATTCTTTAGATGCAATGCATATAGAGAAAAATGTGTGTGATAGTCTTATTGGTACTTTGTTGAACATCTCTGGGAAAACGAAAGATGGCCCTAAAGCAAGAGCTGACTTAGAAATCATGGGGATTAGAGCTGAACTTCATCCAGTTGAAAAGATAAAAGATGGCCCTAAATATTTGCCTCCCGCTGCTTTTACATTATCAAAGAATGAAAAAGATGAATTTTGTGAAAGTTTGGCTGGAGTGAAAGTTCTAGAGGGTTATTCTTCAAACATTCACAACCTTGTTTCCATGGAAAACTTGAAACTTGTGGGTCTTAAGTCCTATGATTCCCATGTCTTGATGCAATAATTGAAACCAGTGGCTATTCGTTCAATTTTACCTAAAATTGTCCGACATGCCATCATTAGATTGTGTTCTTTCTTTGATTCAATCTACAACAAAGTTATTAATCTTAAAGAACTAGATGACTTAGAGGAAGAGATTATCATTATTTTGTGCCAGTTAAAAATGTATTTCCCTCCATCATTCTTTGATATAATGATTCATTTGACTCTACACCTGGTTAGAGAGGTAAGATATTGTAGGCCTGTGTATCTGAGAGCTTAGTGGGCTTTTGAAAGGAAAATGAAAATCTATAAGGGTTATGTGATGAATGCTTATTACCTTGAAGGTTGTATAGCTGAGCAAGTCCAGTACGAAATTGCTATTGCACTTTGTAATAAATTTTTAGGAGATGTGAAAATGATTGGACTGCCTATATCTCGTCATGATGATAGGATAGATGGGAAGGGTATCATTGGTTATAAACAAGCTGACTTGTCTGGTGCCAAGTGGATTAAGGCCCATACATATGTTCTACATAATGAGGATGAAGTAGCACCTTATGTTGAGCAACACAAGACTTTCTTGAAAAAAAAGTATAATCGGAAGGCAACTGAGAAGTTCATAGCAAATGAGCATAATCAGGCATTTTTTACTTGGTTCATGGAAAAAGGAATGAAAGAACTTCAATTGTCACCGGAATCTATTTTTGACCGTTTGAAGTGTTCAGCATATGGGCCTAACTTTAGTGCCTTCTTTTATTCTGGGTATATGATTAATGGTTTCACATTTTACACCAAGGATCAAGACGTAATTAGTACTATGCAAAATAGTGGAGTTACTTTAGAAGCTGAAGCCATGCATTTTTCTAGTGTCAAAGATAAGAAACCTGTTCATTAT